GTCAGGGACTAATACCCATGTATGTGGAGCAGCAGTTCCGTAAGTCTGAAGAGAAATAAGTGCACTCATGCAGATCAATTGCATTCTTAGGCATAGTATGTCCAACATATCCAATACCCTAAATAATGAGGATGAGGTGCCTGAACACATTATCCATGTCCATAAATTAAGGAAATTCTGTTGACTCATTGATGATTCAACACTAAAACTGCTGTCATGGTTTAACCCCAGCTGGCAACTAAGCATCACCCAGGCGCTCACTCACTCCCACTCAGTGGAATGGGGGAGAGAATCAGAAGGGTAAAAGTGAGAAAACTCATGGGTTGAGATAAAGACAGTTTAACAGGCAAAGCAAAAGCTGTGAGCACAAGCAATGCACAACAAGGAGTTCATTCACCACTTCCCATGGTCAGGCAGGTGTTCAGCCATCCCCCAGAAAGTAGGGCTCCACCACCTGTAACAGTTACTTGGGAAGACAAACGCCATCACTCTGAAGGTCCTCCTCTTCCTTCTTTCTCCAGATTCATTGCTGAGCATGATGCCATATGGTATGGGATACCCCTTTGGTCAGTTAGAGTCAACTGTCCCAGCTGTGTCCCCTTCAAACTTGTGCACTTCCAGCCTACTTGCTGGTGGGGTGGGGTGAGAAGCAGAAAAGGCATTAACTCTGTGTCAGCACTGCTCAGCAGTAACAAAAATATCCCTGTGTTATCAATGCTGTTTCCAGCACTAATTCAAAACATAGCCCCATACTAGCTACTATGAAGAAAAATAACTCCATCTCAGCCAAAGCCAGCACAATTCCCCAGGCCAATCCAAAGCTGGTCAGGTAGAAAGCTTAGCTCTTGGAAAACTAAATGTAAGGCTCCTACCCCAGGTGCTCTGAAATAAGGTGGATTTCACTGTGTTAGGTGCACAGTATTAATCAGCACAAAGCTACTGTAGTGCCTAATGGAGTTGTGAATTCTTATTTTCTGATTGATGGATAGATCGCACGGGATTAGCCCATATCAGGTACTTTAAATAATGAGAATCTCTCCACCCAGCATTGAACTAAGCCACACAAAACTGTGCTTCCACAAATCTTGGCAGAGTTTAGATAGGGAAGAATACAAATTAAGTACATCAACGTGAAAGAAATATTTACCTTCATTGCTCCACTAAGTAATGAAAAATAAGGATGAGTCTAACTTCACAGGCAGTGCAAATTTACATATTTACAAACTCCAATTCAATGCAAAACTAAACAGAAAACTCTGGAAGTTTAAAAGAGTATGTGTTTGTTCTTCCCACAGAGGAGAAATGGCATCCTTCAAATCATGTAGCTGTTATATTTCATTAGACAAGTGAAGAGTTTAGTTTTATACATTGGAGTCCATATTCCCTTTAAATGCAAAGTGATGTATTTATTAAAACATAAATTTAATTGCTGGGAAGCTCAATTTTGATCATTATATTTATCATACTATCTCTTTGCAAATATGTCCATGGACAGAATATATCAATTTATTTTAATGAAGGGATTTATTTTCTCAAACAAAGTAATTCCAAAACTGAGGATGGATAAGAAATATGTAAAACTGAACTCTTAATGTTCATGCAAACCTCATACACATATAGTGCATAGCAACCAAAACTCTGCAAAAAATAAGAACCTATTAAAAATATTTCCTTTAAGACAATTGTCTACATTTAATATTTAAGCCTTAGGGAAAAACAAAAGCAACTACACTTTTACTGCATAACATTCTCATAAAACATTGATGAATGCTTCACTTCTGATAAGATAGCATGCATCAGGAATTTACTGTATTACGGTAATAGCAGATGAAGGGACAAAGAAAATCATGTTCAGAAAGATGAGAAAGACGCTGATTAAAAAATAAAAATATAACCCCAAACAAATCAACAACATTTCAAAATAAGCATTAGCATTGCCCTATATAGTCTTCAGATGTTATTGAAGATACTGAGTTTTCTCTAGTTCTATTCTTTACCTCTACATTTTTCTGTCATTCTAAATCTAGTCTTTATGCATTTCCAAATCATAGAAACATAGAATCATAGAATCCTAGAATAGTTAGGGTTGGAAAGGACCTTAAGATCATCTAGTTCCACCCCCCCTGCCATGAGCAGGGACACCACACACTAAACTATGTCGCCCAAGGCTCTGTCCAACCTGGCCTTGAACACCTCCAGGGTTGGAGCATTCCCAACTTCCTTGGGCAACACATTCTAGTGCCTCACCACCCTCACTGTGAAGAACTTCTTCCTTATGTCTAATCTAAACTTCCCCTGTTTAAGTTTAAAGCCATTCCCCCTTGCCCTACCACTAGAGTTCCTAACAAAGAGTCCCTCCCCAGCATCCTTGTAAGCCCCAAATCAGACGGATAAAGCAATCCCAAGCAAGCAAAAGGGAGGAATCACAGCAAAGACAATAAAGCATAACAGATAAAGACAGTGCTAGCTCAGAATAACAAAATACAGGAAAACAATCAAATTTTCACCAGATTGCATGATCCATGGATTGTAGTGGAAGAGGATATTCAGATACTAGTATGGAATTAAAATACTGTAGGAGGCTTGAAAAAGCAGAGATAGAAGTCACATTTTTACTTGAATGTATACAATCATTATGTATAGTTTGCTAATACTGATATGACATAAAAAAATAAAGCAGTACAGAAAGCAACTACCTTGTAAAAAAGAATTTCACTATGATATAGTATGGCTTTTTTTTTGTATCTAAAACACTGTAGAGAATGACAGACACTTTGAGACATGTATATGAAATCACCTATAAGTGACTAATTTGAATTAGTTTTACCAGCTGAATTTTACCTAAGTATTTCTGAAGATGGTTTACTTCAGAATCAATTAAAAGAAGGGCGTCTACTCACAGACATATATTACTCTGAATAAGAAACATTAGTAAGTCTTCAAGCATTACCTTTTTATACAAAAATAACCTCTTCCCATTAAATAAAATGCATATTTGCAAATACAAATATAGCCAAAGAATCAAATGAATAGTTTATTCACAAAGAATAGGATAAAGTTAATCTTAAGGGTTTTGTTTATTTGCTTGCTTGCTTGCTTTGTTTTCCCCAGAATAATGTGGTATTTTTCAGGCAGTGGTTTTGGCATTTTACTCGCTTTCTGGTATCGTGTAGGTATGCTACTTGAACTAGTTTCACATGAGGTAGTTTGAGGATTAGGGGAAGGAATGATTTAGTAAATTATTCTTGTAAAACTGCACATTTGAATGAGCCCCACAGTATAATAATTGAAATTAAATTGAACCATGGGTCAGCCATTGCTATTTTTTAGTGAAAAATTATGAAATAATAAAAAAGTAGTGATGTTTATATGTGTTGTGGTTTAAGCCCAGCTGGTAACTCAGAACCACGCAGCTGCTCGCTCACTCCCTCTTTCTTCCTCCCCCTCCTCTCAGAGGGATGGGGAGGAGAATTGAAAGAATGTAACTCCCATGCGTTGAGATAAGAACAGTCCAGTAACCAAGGTATAATACAAACCACTACTGCTACCACCAATAATAATAATGATAATGGAAATAACGAGGGGAGAGGACGCAACCGCTCACCACCCTCCGACCAATACCCAGCCCAACCCGAGCAGCAATCTGGTCCTTCCGGGTAATTCCCCCCAGTTTATATACTGGGCATGACGTGCTGTGGTATGGAATACCCCTTTGGCCAGTTTGGGTCAGGCATCCTGTCTCTGCTTCCTCCCAGCTTCCCGTACCCCTCCTCACTGGTAGAGCATGAGACTGAGAAAATCCTTGATTAGACTAAACATTACTTAGTGACAACTAGAAACGTCAGTGTGTTATCAGCACTGTTCTCAGGCTAAAGTCGAACGCACAGCACTGCACCAGCTACTAAGAAGGAGAAAAATGACTGCTACAGCCAAACTCAGGACAATATGGTTTTTAATGGTGAAGTCATCACAGAAAAGCAACAGAGCACTAAAGTGCTCTGTTGACATCAATCTGGATATAGAGAGTTATGAGTTAAGTGGTAACTCCATCTACAAGAAATTGCAGAGGAATTTTGGTTATTACCTTCTTAGGCTGTAGGGTTGAATTGATCCATGCTTTTGTCTGAGATTACCAACTGTACTTTTGTGAATATTTGTTAACTGAATAAGCACACAGCAAAATGCATATAAAGACTGTGTGGTTAACCCAAGAGTGAAGAGACAGTTGTTATTTCAGATTGCTTCAGAAAATTCAGGCTCCACATAAGGGAGTATGATAAACTTAGTAGAGTCTAGAACCATGAAATACAAGATGGAACATCACCAAACACAGAGATAAACACAGAGTAATTTCTGCACAGACATGCAGTGTCTCATATGGAAGGCAGTGGATCTAATGGCAAGATATGAAGTGCATTAAGACATGAAAGGGAGGCAAAACAGAGCTCTATGGACATTTAAAACTGGTCTGAAGATGGAAACGGCAATGAGGATTAAATCTGCAGGCAGAAAAAAGAGCTAGCCTTTTTATGAGTTCACAGTGTTCTCTGTGCTCCTGCTTGCAATTATACTCCAGGGTGGCAATCAGTCACCAAGAACATCCAAAAAGAGTAGTAACTATCATAATGGAAGTTATTCCATTCATACTGTGTGATGAGCCTTTTGCATGATCCAGAATTAATTCATTCTACATCAAAAATACTCAAATTATACCACACTAGTGTTTAAGCACAGTGAGACTCATAAACCTTTAGAATGACAATTCAACCGCAGTCAAATGAAAGTCAGAGGAAGCTTAAGCTCATTTTAAACTTAAGATATACTAACATTTATTTCAAACACTGGGTTGAATATATTGAAAGGTAATGTTCAACAAACTAAAGTCTATGGAAAGGCCATGTATTTCATCTTTCTTTATAATGAAAGGTTAATCTAAGTTATCAGACTGCTTCTCAAAAATCACTGCTTACTTCTTCTTGCTGCTTCTCATTAAGTCTTACCTTCCAGACTCAAATGTGAACCATGTTGAGTCGCGTCCGTATCTCCTCAAAGAGCTCAGAGGCCACATGACCAGCTTGACCTTGGCATTGTGGATGTCCCAGAGATAGATGTTTTCATGTGTGATCTGCATTGTACATTCCCCATAGATATCTAAATTTGGTGTAGGCATAAGATATACATTGAATCGTTCTGCAGAAAAACAAACACAGAATAATGCATGGCCAGTTAAAGTAAGATTTTATACTGGGGGAAAAAACAAAAAAGAAATGATGTATTAGTTACTCATGGTTCAGAAATCAAGGTCCAATATCTATCTTTGAACAGAAGAGAGGATCCACTGATGTCGAAGAAGCCTTGCTAGTGTACATTGGAGGAGTAAGACTGAAACATCTTTCACAGATGATCTGAATATGTCACTCTGACATACGTCCCCATCAACTTAACTGAAGTCCTTTTTCCTCACCTTAAGGTCCACAACTCTTTGCAAATCAAAATTCACAATGACTTGAACTCTGACAGAGATTCCTCTCTCAAAGAATACTACAAGTATCTTGACAAAACATGTATGTACAACCATTGCCCCTTAAAAAGCTTGTACTTAAAATTGCAAACCCAGGTTTATTTATCAAGTCTTGTTAATAATTATGTTCTTTGTGTTCAATTTCTATTTATTTTTAATAAGTCATTATCATCTGTGGAATAACATTTTAAATAATCTGTTGTTTTCTTGAAAAATCTGATTCAACATGGTACATTATTATGGTCATGACAACAACTGCTATCAGCTGCTCTTTCACTGCAAAGTGCACTCATTGCAGTATGAGGCAAAGGGCATTACAATTTTCTGAAGTGCCTGAATTGCACCTGATTTAACAAGCAATGCAAAAAGTGTCCTTAAAAAGAAGGAAAAAAGAAAAAAACCCAAGATGAAATAAACCACCATTAACTCGTATGTAAGGAATTAAACCACAGCAACAGCAGCAGAATTTTAAATAAAGATGCAATTTTCTTTGAAGAATAACTAATGTTTGTATAGGTTGCTTCTACGAAGAAGGAAAATGTCAATTAAATTTCAGGTTGTAGATTTGGAAATGTTAGCCTATATTTTAACTCTAAAGGCATTGAAATCTTACGGGCTTAATAGCATAATATGGGAGATTGCAGCTGATTCACAACTTCCTCTCACAATTTTCTTTCATTTTTGAAATAGGACAGAAATGCAAAATGTTAATGCTACTGCACTGAAGGATATTGACAAAAAAGTTAAGAAATATTTAAAGTATGAGCAAGTGCAATGCTCACTCAATAATCAGTACTGGGAAAATGTACTTTAAAGGGATACCTGATCAGAATTGTCTCTAATTACTCAATAAACAAATTACAGCTTGGTGTGGAGCATTTTTATGCCACCATATGCACCGAATTTTCTCATGGTATCCTCATAAAAATTAGGAAGGAATTTAAAGTAAGCAGAAGAGGAATAAAGTGAGAGAAATTTATCATAGCAGTCAAAATTAGATGCAACTTCCCATAATGTTTGACATTAAATACCACAAATACTATGCCTCTATTTTTTAAACATTTTATATATATATATATACACACACACGTTTCTGACAAATCAGTGAAAATATTACAAATAAGTGCATTAATATAAATTATGTTAGAAATGTGCATACGAGAGAGAGATAGAGAGAGAAAATATACTAGCAAAAGTTTGGCTGAGGAATTAATGGGAGCAGGGAACTGCTCATCAGCAGTAAGAATTGCTGCCTTGCATAGCTCGAAGTAAACTTTTCATCCCCAATGCTATTCTGTTTCAGTCGATTTAATTTTGTCCTGTTAATGACTCCCCAAATGATTCATTCAGTCTCATAGTCATTCGACCTCTTCTCCCAGGGTCTAATTCTTATTAATCACACTAATGGCTGTTTGCCCTAAAAGTTTAATTTTATGACTAAGGTCCAAAGCGTGAAACTCCTGTTTTGTAAAAGCCATCTGACAAACAGCATAAATGAATAGATTAGCAGGTGCTCCTGAGATCACTGCAAAGAATTTCTCCTAACCCTCAGACGAGTCCATTGGGCACAACTCTAACCAAACGCCTACTAAAGTAAATGCAAGGACTCGCACATGGGAGTATGGGTCAATGAGTACATTGGGAAGAGAATGGTAGAGCACATGGTAAGTTATACTGCACAATGGTATTATATATGTATGTATGTATGTATATATGCCCTTTTTCAGTATCTGTGTGTCATGATGGTCATACAAAAATGCCTAGGAGCTACGCAGGTATGCTTTTATCATATATTAGACTCCAGGTTTGCATTGTCATGCTGTTACTCATTGTTACTCACCTCCTCTATTTGAAACAAAGGTGCAGATGACTGACATATCAGTTGGTTCTCTTTTACATTACATGAAATCACACAATGTGTCTATGGGTGAACAGTGCTACCATATGACAACAGAAATCTTTCCCTTTCCATGTCTTCAGTGAGAGTGCCTTAGACAGCAGAGAAAATGGAAAGGTACAATTGTTTTCTGAAGTGAACATTAAACTGTTGTTTTGAAGGTACAGCATATTTCAACTTGGTTTAGAAATTACCAGGATACTCATGAAATGCTCAACTTCTCTGAACTGTTTGAGGATATTATTGCATGAAGGGTATTCAGGATATATGGTATCCTCAAACTGTCAGGAGACATTTGCTGACTTTGGGAGGTCAGTGTCTAAGGTGAAGTGTCACGGATTAAAGAAAGTATGTCTGATTAAACTGAACATCAGCTGCAGGGCAAAACGTAGTATGCTTGGAACTTACTCAAATTAGCAAGAAAAGCAAGTATATAAATGTATGTGCTGGAGAACATTGAGGATGGATATATTTGTTTTTGAAATAAAAACTAATACTTTTGAGTAGTGAGAGATTGAGGACATGGAAAAGTGTAGATACTATTAAATGATTTTAGGAATGCAAGGTCCAATTTTTCCATTTCAGAAAATATTTAAAAGAGGTATCTAGATAACTGTAATACAAGCACTCAATTTTTAGTGGCAATTTTTGCCCTTACTTATTCAGGCAAGAACAAACATTCAAAGGCTAGATTTGGAGATCCCTGAGTTTTTGCTGGATCAGTAGGGCAACTGAACTCTGTCATCAGATCTTCTGAATCACATCAAACAGGATATTATGCTTTTCTATGGACCAGACATCACGTGCATATGAGCGTGATGAAATAATAACTTCACCTTTCCAACCCTAACTGTTCTATGATTCTATTATTCACTGGGTAGTAAGACCAAGTAAATAGAATTTAATGAGAGACCCAGAAAACAGGGAGGTGGAAGATACCAAACAAGTAGATACTATCCTGTTGGACAAGACAAGGCTGAGACTGATCAGATCCAGTTCCTCAGCATTCAGCATCACTATCCTTCTCCCTCCTCTAAAATCTCTGAGAGCAAAGTTTAGGGAGTGGGGGAGCCAGGATGAGGAAAAAAAATGCTGATTTATTGCTACACTTATTATTCAACTCTTTTCAATGTAACTGCTCTTTCCCATCTCCTTGAATAAGCAGAGCAATACTTCATCATACTCCTTCTGCATGCAAAGGTGTTTAGCATTTGGGCTTTGGCAAGAATATGACCTTTAATAATGTTTTCTAGAGCACAGGAGCACAAAAGTCTTCATTAAAATAAGCATATTGACTGAAACAGAGACTTGACAGCAACTCTGAAAAATCTCTCAGCCGTTCAGCTCCAAGTCCAGCTGTACCCGAGAAGAAAAAAATGACTGTGAGGCCCAGTGATAATGGTTCTACCATCTTATCACTGGATTCCTTTGCCTAAGTCATCCCAGTTAGAAAACTGACCAGACGACATTGCAGTCTTGCAGTCCAGATACTTTATTTCATTTGAGATTTAATGGCAGGGAAAAACCACTTAATGGAAGGAGGCAGGCAGGTTGGTTGAGTCTGTGTAAGGAGAGGGTTTAAAAGCGAACATTCAGTTTCTGTCTGGGAAAAAAAATCTTTGAGACTGCTGCTACTGACCATCTGTGGCTAACATTCAGGTGGAAAGAGAGCTTTAAGTCTTTAACATCAGAGCATTTTGTGTTCATTCATATGTCAGGTCCATGAGGATGATTCTGTCCTGCTTTACACAGTGAAGAACCAGGACTCCAGAATTAATTTTATTCCTTTGCTTACGGTTTTTCTGCTTTGCTTCCATTAAAAATGTATGGAAACATCTATTAACATCTCAATGAAAATATATAGCATACCATAAATAAACTATTTTAAATTGTTTCACTGATAAATAGTAAGGTAGAGAAGAATCTGAACTCTCACTGGATTAACCAGCCATTAAAACTGTAAATGCCTTTCTTTTCTGAATAAAACTGGCTATGTTCGTTTTATGAAAAAGAAACCAAACCTAAAACCAACAACAAAAAAAACCCCAAAACCCCAGCCAAAACCCAAAATATAAAAATGCATTAAGGGTAACAGAAGATGAATAAACAATAAGCAAAATGCTTTTATGTAATAAAATCACTAACAGATATTCTGCAGAGTCTAGAAAATACCCTAAACCAGTCAGCTTTGTGAAAGTAATTCCAAAGTCTCTATGCTTTGGCTGTAGCTTGTAATCTCAATACGTAGCATAAAGAAACAACTCATAATCCTCTTCTGAGAATTCAAGGATGTTATTCACTATGAAAAACTACATTTTTACTAACAGAAATTAATGAGAGTCTTTCAATTAAAACCCAGAAAGCAAGACTGCTGTACTGTGGAATACTTTTAAACAAAAAAGGAGAGTAAAACGAATGTTATGAAAAAGAGGAAAACTTTACAAAGGAAGTAATTTTATGACATAATAATTTAAGTATTAAGCAGGGAGTAAAAGTAAGAAATTACTTACCTTACAAACTTCACCAGACTTCTAAAATAAAAACTAGTTTCATAATTCATTAAAAAAAAAATAGGCCAAAGCACCAATAACATACAATAAAGCAGCATCATATTGATATCATAGGCATGACATCTAACAATAAATGAGCTATAGCAGCAAAAGATGGATCAGGCCTTTTCTTCAGTTTAAAAAATTGCATTACATTTGCCTATTTTCTTCAATGTTTATATCAGGTTTACAAGTAAAGTTTAATGGAATAAGATTTAGTACAAATATTAAGATATTATAGTGATTTCATTTAGCATTTAAAAGAGATAGATAGGAATAGAGTTCACCAAAGGGAAGTACCTGTCCTTAAAAAGTGACCTTATTTGCATTATGTACACATAATGCTTTTTTAACCAATACTGTCTTAAATATTCTGGTTTCTTTTTCTCAGTAAGCATAGCTCGTCATGGTCTCCTGTTCATTTGGATGACTTCTTTCTAGTTACCTCAGTTATAAAGAAAGAAAATAAAGTGAAACATTGGAAATAGTGATATTTAAAAAAACAAACAAACAAACATGAGCACAGACAAATTCTAGATATGACAATAGCCAGGCAGCTAAATATGTTTTTTAAAAAGTAGATTTGTTTCTGTTGTTATATTTTGAAGAGTATTACAATGCTTCCAAATGCATTAAGAGCTGGAAAAGAAGTTTGGAAAAGAAGTTTCCAATTCCTCCAAATGAAGACGGCACTCTACATTCAAGATTTGTTTCCCTAGCAGCAGCCTAAGAAACCTAAGGGATATGAAATGTGTGTGTGTCAGTATCACGGGATATTGCTTTGAAAACTATTTCTCAACAGTGCTATCAGATCTAGTGTTTCTGAGTCCAGATTTTCTTTTCTGGAGTTGTAACTGTGCATTATTACTTGTCTTACCATTGTATATACAGCCCCACTGCCATTATACTTAATTAGTTATCTTAATAGGATTGTTTATTTTTTTACTGCTTTTGATTTAATACTGTATTTTCATTCTTTAACAAATAATCTAAATGGACATTCATAAACAGTAAGAGATTCTGGTGTGAAAATAAATTTAGACAGAAACAAACAGGATTGCTACTGTATGGCTGAGAAACACAAACATATTTAAATTTGCTGGAGAGGGAAGGTAAAATGTTTGGAGAGTAACAGAAGCTTCATTTCAAACCTCACTTTTATTGGAATCTGTGCATCATTGCAAACTAAGCAGCCATTACTTGTAAAAAGAAAACAATCTAAGGGTCACTTTCTGCAAGAGAGTTTACACAGCAAGACTTGCTGTAATACTTCTTGAAAGTAATTACAGAGATGAAATCCAGTGAGAAGCTTTCTGTTACTGATGTGCTTTGTACAAGAATTGCTTAGATGTCTTCTTTATTCTTCCTACAAGAAACAATAGACAGAGGTCTCTGCTATAACCAGTGCAGCTCTATAGTTTGGTTCTTCTGCCTATCACTGCTGCAGAATTGCTTGGTGCTGGAGGGTTAAGCAACAGTACAACTACAATAAAATAGACCTCACTAGCACTTACTGAACAATTTATAATTATAAAAATACCATCTCTTTCCAGTTGCTGCACTACCATAAATTTTTAATTGCATATGACAGAAATGCCTTGTGAATGTATGGCCTTTTAGCCACAACATTTGCACACCAAACAGCAATTGTGCCAGTCTTTGGAAAAGTTTTGAAAACTGTATCGTTGTATTTGTGTCACAGAGAATCAGGTGTCTTCCCTTCTGAAATCAAAAGCTCATCTCAGAACCACAAGAATGAGAGCAGGAAGATAAACAGGATCATATGTAACAAAAAGAGGTATTAGACAAATCCTATAAAACACACGTATTTTACTTGCCAATTATTTCCTGAAATGTGAGTCCTTGGGTATAAAAAATACAAGTAGCAATTTTTATGGTCCTAGGGCATATATAACAATAATAATGAAAATAATTATAAATGTTGCAAACTGAAGGTACTGGCTACAGTGGTCACATACAGCAGCTAAACCACAGATCTATACAACAGAAACCATAGTGTTTTTTTTCCTCGAGATAGGAAGTTTACCTGATCCCTTCAATGAATACCCTTACAAGTACATGACTACATCATGAAAATGTCCTTAAGGTCAGATAGGTGAGTAATTAGACAGATGAAGAACATCATGTAGTAAATTACTGCCCATAGGCTTGTAACCAATCATAGGATCAAGGAAGTATATAAAATTCTGAAAATTTCAGAAAATCTTTAAGGCAAAATAACAATAAAAAAAAAGACAGTGGAATTAAAGGTGGAAAAGACAGTGGAATTAAAAGAGGTGGAATTAATGGTTAATACACCCATTCTTTTGGGATTAATGTTATTAGTCATGTCACGTCATGTCATGTCACAGAGATATCAACAGTATAACACCATTATTCAATTGCTTTTAGCTCTTAAAATGTAAAAAAACCCAAAACATTTCTAAAACTGAAAAACCACTGACACTGTAGTCTTTATAACAATGCAATCTGTGGTCTTGCTGAGATACTAAGAGATATTTTTTATTCAGTGACCTGAAATAAAGCCCTTGTATGGTTCAGGCAACAGAACATGCATGAAACTAGATGCTGAGACTTTACGATTCTATTGCAGGTTATGCAAACAATATTCTCACATCACTGTTTCAAGTAAATATTAATACACTGACTAACTCAAGAGGAATTCTATGAAGTTGACATACTTGCAATATCTTTTGAAATAATAAGTACTATAGGTACTATACCAGTGTATGCTTTTTACTTAACACACACACAAAAAGACCCTGAGAGGGACATGGCTGCCATTTTCACAAAGAGCAAGGTTTAGACATTTCATACATATAGTCACTTTTCATGAATTTCAAATTGGAAAATTAACTTTGACCTTTCAGTTTCAGGTCAGCAAAAAGTCAGCAAAAGCTCAGTGTACTTTTGAAAGGTTTTTAGGTATCCTTGGAACTGCAATTTTCTGGTTTTGCCTTTAAATGCTACAATATGGGGAAAATGTGCAAGAAAGTTTTTTTTTTTTTTTTTTTTTAAATCTTAACTCAGTAATTGATCCCACCCTCCAATTAGTCACCGTTTCCATAAAACTGTCATGTGGGGAACGACACTGCTAAGCTTGCTGAATAAGACAACTAGTACAAACTGAAGTCACAGTTCTACTCAACTATTTTATTGAAGGAATCTGCTAAAGAAATTTGAGTGCAACTGCAGGTTCATGCAGCACAGCTAAATGAACAAAATGCTAGATTTCATATGAATAGTCTCTTTACTCTTCCCCCCTTCCAAGATGATTAAAAGACTCCCTAAACAGAATTTGCTTTGCTTCTGAATGAGACAACTTTGAATTTAAAAAATGCTTATTAAAATGCAGAATTGTGCATGAAAATTATGGGTGAAGAAAGTGTATAGGTACCAAAATTACTTGTCTGAGATACTGTAACTAATGATTTAACAGAGGATGCTCGTCAAATATTTGAATTATATGTATTCAGCCACTTGGTTTAAAAAAGTATGTCTAATAATACCCTTCATGCATTCTTATTCATCTGATTCATACAACAAATACATGCTTTGCTTCTTTGTTTCTTTTCATTTATTTACTTAGAACAATAAAGATACTAATTATGTTCATATATGCTGGTTGGGAGCGCCACAATTAATTTCTAGTCTAAGGCACCTGAATCAAGACTAGTTCACACAACAGAACTAATCTATGACTTCTGGAGGTCATGTGTGTGTGTAACTTCAAAACCAAGATGAAATGCAATATTTGCTATCTATATCTGAAAGCTGCTGGACAGTATATGAATACACTGCAGAAAGTTTGAAGAATTTCAAGCTATTTTTCTGCTCACAGCACTGGCTTTTGACAATTTTTTCCCTTTTGCATTTGTGAACAGCTCCACCTGCTCACATATTTCTCTCTTCAATAGCATGCATATGAGTTTTATACCTATAGCCTATAAGCATATAGCCCATAGGACGCTTTGAGTGGTGTCTGCTGATTATCACCTTCCTATATTAATAGTTCTCCCTTTGTTAAGTATTTTGAGACTACAAATTAAGTACTGCGTCTCATAGGTGGCAAACAGCTTCACAAACATTTTGAACTTCTTTTAAATCACACTTGAACATGTCTGATGTTTGAAAAAGAATTCTTAAAGATTTCTGTATATTTTCTTGTCATTAGGTTCAGACATGTCAGGACTCTTCTACAAAATTAATGCAATATAATTAATACAATGCTATTCATTCAATAATTTAATTATTTTTTTTTTGTTTATAATGATAGTTGGCTTGATATTTTATGACCATTGAGGCAGTTTGTTTTATTACTTTGTTAAAAGCTATCGGATTTTGTAAAAGCATCAAGATGGTAATAATCATTGAGACCTGTAATAGAGAGAGGAATAAATGAGCACATTTTGTGTTGCCATCGTGTTCATTAATAAGAATTAAATGACAGGCAATCACAGATTTTCTTTTGTTATTGCATATTCCATGCACTAGCATCCTTCCTGCACACATGTCTATTCTAAAGTTCTGTTCCGAATAGTCTTCATATGAAGACTTGCAAGCTCAGGCTTAGTGCCGACTAGCATCTGTCATTGCCCTTTTCACCTGTATTTGACAACATTTAGATGACCTTTAAGACACATATGAGTTTAAAGCAAATATGTGTTTTGCAGACCAAAGTAGTGTTGATATGTTCATGCTGTTTTTTAAAGGCTGTGGAACAACAGCTGCTGTTTTATTCTTCTGCACAGAGGCCATTGTTTCCAGAACCAGAAGAGTTATAGTCATCATTTCCTAAGACAGCAAAATGTGAATGCAAAAAAGACATGAAGTCACTCAATGTGTGCTATCTGGCATGGAATTTAATAATCTTTATTTGTAGGAATAATAGGATTAAGTCTCAAAAACACATTCAAACATTTAGCTATTAATGATATTATGCTTCAAGCCAATAGTAAAAATCCTCAAGACAAATACAAGCAAAAATAACATAGGACATTGCCTAAGACCTGATCTAGGCGCAGTTACAAAATTACTTACCATTTTGTTCTCTCTGGACTCCAGCAGCAAGTAAATCTGGTTCCCCAAGACTTATATCATTAAGCCTGGTTCCTAGACACTCCATGCAAAGATGTTTGCACCATTCCTCTGCCTCTAGTTCTGGGGGGAAAAAAAAAAAATAAAAAAAAAATGTTCATGTTAACATTTTACTCAAAAAAGTGTGAAGCTAAATCAATACCTTCTTAGAGATCAGCTTTATGACAATATGCTTGAGTTGAAACATGAGTTATTAGCATAAAGTTGCACATTAATTACTTTGCCTTGATTTGATTATGAACTTCTAAAAGGGTTTATGGTATTAGGACTGCATCTTCCATTTTCAAACTTGGGGATAGGAGGTGGAGTTAACAAAAAAGAAAAGAGTACTGAGTTTTCAAGGAAGTATATTTCTAGTAGCCATTCTTGAAAGAAAAATTCAATTTAGAAAAACATTACATATAATATCTGAAATATACTTTACTGCTTTTTAGGTTAATTTAAACTGCTAACACACTTTCTCTTCCTAAATGTTCTAGAGCATTTTTCCAGGAGGAAAGGAAAAAATAGTAATAAAAAGATCTTCAAATGCAAGACATCCTTATCTGCTCTACTGAACGGCTATGCCTGTCAAATTAGTCTGAATAATTAATTTCACCAGTTCTGTTCACCATCATCTGGTCTCAGAGCAATTTGGGCATTTGTTGGAACATTATTATGAAAATTCGAAACCTCCTACCAGTTTCTGAGTCCTCCATTGCATCTGAGAGCTCCCTATGTGCCAGTTTAGCAAGACACAAAGTCCCCAAGGCATAACCCCCTTAGACGCTACAACAGTCCTCACCAAGACGCCTAGCCTCACCCTATCCACTTCTCAAACTTAACATCACAATATGTCTGGCTCTGGTCAAAAAACCCAATCACACAGTGTGAAACCACAACCAATAAAAATCATGCAAGTAGGCTGGTTGTCTTTTATTACAGGATAGGCTTCACCTAAGGGAAACTTTATGGAGCAGCTTGACACCAGGCACACATGGCATCCATTGTCACAGTCAGTCTATATCTGATCATCTTTCGGAGTGTGTGACTCCAATCATCTAGAAATGTCTCTATTAAACTGCTACAGTTCTTTCCTATTTTGGGGGACATCTGGAAAATACTTTTGTGACAATCTCTCCAACATAATGGTGAAATTCAGAGAGAGAGAAAAATACTGCATTAGAGCCCTGAAGCATCTAGTGATGATGACTCACTGTAATTAGTGAAAATTTATATCCAAGAAAAATCTTTCCATGCCTAATTGGTACAGTGCTAAAATCCTCGCCTGGTTAGACATAGATCTCAAGTGACAGGAACATTTGCTAGACAAGAAGGGGAGACAGGCATGCAATTCCAGGTTTCTAAGAACCTTTGGACACCCTCCTTTGTTCAGGACCTTGAATACTCCAGGAATAGATTGTTCCTGAGTTATTCTGGCTATCACCTGACCAAGTTCCCAGACAGACAGCTCAAATGATAGAGCCTGGTTTGCAATTTTTGAGAGCCAAACGTGGTGGTTGTCCCAGGCACACAAATAGTTTGGGGGACTTCTTCAGAGTGCTGTAAGCAAAGGGGTTTCCCTTAATGCTTCCTGATTTTTTGCGGTCATTGTCTCAGGACACAGATCCCCAGAGCTGGTCTTCTCATAACATGCTCAGCTTCTGGTAAGAGACAGACTATTCTGTCAGTAACATGGAGATGACATTTAACTTTGTATGTGAGAAGAAAATTTTGAGGTAACAGCATACTGATCCTTAATACTTTTACAGGTACAGCCTCCTTGATGGAAGTAAGGAGAGAATAGGCATATTTCTGGATATCGATAAAAACTTAGGGCTTTTAAAAGGAATCAGATATATTTGTTTAAAATTAATCTTCTCCAAAATTCATCTTCTACTCATGCATGAATAAATTTCCCTCCTGTTTTCCCTTCCTCTCCTTCAGCCTTTGTAATTTACTCAGATATCTGTGAGGTCTGTTGAACCAGAGCCATACCTTATAAATCAGACCTGCCCATGGAGAGGGCTTCATGCCAGGGAAATCATAAAAGTGGACCACAAGATGTGCTGCCACATTCTGGACACTGTGGGTCAGTGCACCAGCACATGGGCTAGTTAAGTCCCCCTCCCAGGAGGGTTTCCACTGAGTTGCCCAACATCTGCTTCCAGGCTGGTAGCTCAAACGTGACAGTGCAAATCTAGTGCAGTGCTCCCACATTTCCTTCACTTATCTCTAACAATATTTTTCTGCCTAAACCAGAACACTATATATATGCTGACAGAATGCACAGCTCTGTATAAAGCCTGCAATTTTTCATGGAGTGTGGTTAGCATATAACATTTTACATGTTTTGCAAAATCTGCATTTTATTACTTTCTTTCATTATGCCTGCACACAGATTAAAAGGGTATATTTTTGAAGTGTAGAATGAGATTGATGGTATAATTAAACACTAAACTAACCTTTATAATTTTACCAACATCTAAGGACAAAGGAAAACATATTGGAATTTCCATAAATCCAGCTTAACATCAATATAAATTCAAAACAGGACTCATGTAAAAGCTACATGTTCTATTTATATGTACTCTCACACCACATTTCCAGTAGGGTTTTTTTTTTTGGAAACAAACAAAAGAACCCATTGTTCTAGAAAGCTGTGTATGTAATAGTCTTTGTTTTCATCTCCTTAGTCCACTTGCCTCTCTCTATTACAGGAACATCTAGATCCTGAAAGCTGGGATCCAGAAACTGCCTTTCAGAATGACTGTCAGTTTAAGTGGCTGCTTCTTAACTGCTAGACATTGATGATTGACCCAGATTAGCCCATTCTCCAACTGCCACAGAGAAGAAACTTATCTTACTTTTCTTACTCAGAGCATTATAAGATCATGGCTATATTTTGCAAAGTGTGGGCTATAACATGCATTGTATTGCCATATAACTCAAAATTTGTATCTTACAAAAATGATTGACTTTTAATACTACAGAAAATACAGTTTCAATGCAGAACTGAAATACCTTTCCACAGAACTGTGAGGATTTGTGTCTGCTGTCAGAAGCATCAACATTACCTACAAATGTATTTGGAAGGTCAAGGGTATGAGGATACTGTGTGAGTTAGTTTTACCTAATGCATCCTGATAGTTATTGCCTACTTGTAAGGGGTTGCCTTCAACCTTTTCCTTGACAGACATGTGAGATATTCGTTAGAAGCAGGTGAGTTACCTTTCAAAGCCAAAGCCATATTTCTCCTTTCATCATGTGTATCTAAGAAAGCAGTTCAACATTCTTTTGCAAAAGGTCTATAGAATGCTTTGTGTTTCTGGATAACAAATTAAATATTATTTATTATTTTTAAAAAGTATTTTTTATAATGTATAGTACATGAAGGCATCAGTCACAGTAGCAATCTTTAAGAATGACAGCTACCATGTCACAAAACAGACACACTACCGTTACTTCTTTATTTTGATTATATGCATATATTGAAACAGATGAAATATAAAAGTGGCACCAAGTCATAAAACACCGTCAGCAAAATTCTTATCTTTAATGCATGTAGATTCGATTTATTGGTGGCAAATGCTGAGTTTTTAGTTCTAACTGCTACTTGTCATTGAAAAATTTAGTTTCCTTTTAAGATAACTGAATTCTTGGACTGAATGATAAATGGTAAAGCATGCTTTCCCAGCTATAAATAAAATCCAGATACTTGCATTTTCATCTTTACTGTTATTCAATTATAAAATGCTGCTATACAGATGTCATGAGGTGACATAAAATACAGAGATGGGAGACCTTATTTAGGCATTGTTTATTGCATAGGAAATATTACTGGGAACAAATCTGTAAACTTGTTATCTGAAAACAGGCACCTTGTTATTGGCAGTATTTTCCTGCAGTTTAACTTATCTTTGAGTCATGCTGAGGTCATTTCTACTTCATTTCCCAGGTGGTTAAAATGGTACTGTACCAACTCCAGCCACTGAAGTTGTGTAATGCAAGTATGTAATACCATAGGATGATCAGTGGGTTTGTTGATATAATAATGATGATGAAATAATATTGGCAAATGGTGTTAGAAATACAAATTTGTAACAGTGAAAGAGCTCTTCTGCTACTTACAGTTTAAAATAATTCATGTTACACAACATACTCTATAGGGAGAGGGTGGTGTGGCAGAGATACAGGTACACAGATACATTTCACTTCACTGTCCTTAGAGATCCTCCAGATTTTTAAGGCTAGAGGCAAAATTGTTTTTAGATTTAACTTAGAGAGTATTTTGTGTGTGGACTAAACCAAATACCTTCTGAATCCTGAAAACTTCACATTCTTTCACATTTACCTCCTACGTTCACATTGCACAATCCTGTCATCTCCCACTACAAGAAGTTGAGAGCATAGCCTGACATAAAGCTCCAAAGAGGTGACCACTCCTGCTCAGTTCAGCTTTAATCTCTGTCAGTAACATGATTTCCTGCTCTGGAAGCCAGTGCCCTCCATTCCAGGAGATCCCTTCACTAGCAGCAGCAAATTATTGCATTCATAAAAAAGAGGCTCAATTCATACACAACTCCTAAAGTTTAAAAACAAAGATGAGGAAGTTTGTCTCTTCCCCATCTCATGCAGTCCATATAAAGTGATGCGATCAAGGATTTAAGTTGGAAATAACATGTATGCAATGTTACAGAGGGAAACATTGTTCTTGTGCAAATCAAAAACCTCACTTTATGAGTCAAAAAGTTTGACTCTTCTTCCCTCTAAACTACTTCTCTAAGAGGTCCAAATCCAACTGAATACTCTTACTCTGAACGAAAGTGGAGAATTTTTCCTGTTTGGATTAGTCTTGATAGGACTCAAACCTCATAATCTCTACTGAGAAAGAAATATGGTGTAGAAAAGCCATGAGTGCCAATTTATCTCTTCTAAAAAATCACTCAGCCTTAATTAGAAGTTAATAGGAAAAAATATGATAAAATCCTCACAGGACTGATGTGCTATTACACTGCGCCACATACAATATGTTCAGCAACTTAATTTCTTTTTCTTTTTTCACTAGCAAATAACACTAT